TGAGAAGTCGGCGTTGTCAGTGTCAGCTACAGAGGAGGCGGTGGTGGTGGCGCGGACGGATGGAACGAGGGTGGGGGTGTGCACGGTGGATGTGGTGGGTGTGTAGGGAGTGCGGTCAAGGCCGCTCTCGTGGATGCGCATGTGGCCGAAAAGGCCCATGCGATGCGTGAAGGTGCGAGGGCAGTCTGGGCAGTGGAGGCGAGTGCGGTGGGTGTAGGTTAGTGCTCCAGGCACTGGTTCGCCAGGCTCTGTGCGATGGATTCGCAAGTGACCGACCAGGCCGATATGTGAGGTGAAAGTACGGTCGCAGTGAGGGCAGGTGTAGTCCTGATCCTCATCCCTGGAGTCGGGGAAGGTGGTGGTAGTGTCGGTTGCTGTGCGTGGGACAGTCGCCTGAGCGACCGCCGTTGGAGCAGTGGGCGTGTCGGGATAGTCTCGGACTCAAGTCACCCGTGCAGCCGAAGCCGCATGGGGACCGATTCGAGATGCGAACTTCCCACTTGCGTGGGAGGTGGCAGTTGGGTGCATGAGGTGTGTGAGTGTTGATTTCTGGTGAGGTGATGGTGGAGGAGGTAGGGAGTGAGTGAATGTGTGATGTGGCCGGCGGTTGTCTACCGCAGGTCGTTGTGGATGCGCATGCGGCCGAATAGGCCCATGCGATGCGTGAAAGTGCGAGGGCAGTGTGGGCATTTGAGACGAGCTTGGTGGGTGTAGGTTGGTGCTCCAGGCACTGGTTCGCCAGTCTCTGTGCTATGGATTCGCAAGTGACCGACCAGGCCGATGCGTGAGGTGAATGTGCGTGGACAGTGTGGGCATGAGAAGTCGGCGTTGTCAGTGTCAGCTACAGAGGAGGCGGTGGTGGTGGCGCGGACGGATGGAACGAGGGTGGGGGTGTGCACGGTGGATGTGGTGGGTGTGTAGGGAGTGCGGTCAAGGCCGCTCTCGTGGATGCGCATGCGGCCGAATAGGCCCATGCGATGCCTGAAAGTGCGAGGGCAGTGTGGGCAGTTGAGACGAGCTTGGTGGGTGTAGGTTGGTGCTCCAGGCACTGGTTCGCCAGTCTCTGTGCGATGGATTCGCAAGTGACCGACCAGGCCGATGTGTGAGGTGAAGGTACAGTCGCAGTGAGGGCAGGTGTAGTCCTGATCCTCATCCCTGGAGTCGGGAGAGGTGGTGGTTGTGTCGGTTGCTGTGCGCGGGACAGTCTCCTGAGCAATCGCCGTTGGAGCAGTGAGCGTGGAGGAGGAGGAGGTGGTGGAGTATGATGATGATGATGATGATGATGATGATGATGATGATGATGATGATGATGATGATGATGATGATGATGATGATGATGATGATGATGATGATGATGGAACTGGTGGGTCAGAAGAACTGTCAGGGTTAGTTGGCGGCGGAGAGGAGGAGGAGGAAGAGGCAGGCGGGGGGACGATGGTTGGCGCCGTGCGAGAGGCGCAGTTAATCCGAAGATGTCCAACAAGTCCGATTCGAGCCCGGAATGTCCGTTGACATCGAGGACACGTTGGAAGTGGTTGTGCGGCGGCGTTGCTTGCTGGGCGAGGTTGTGATTTGCGGGCTTCACGTTTCGCTTTAACGGCAGCGATGCGGTTGGCTTCGTAGATCGCAGCGCCTGTCTTCACTGTCCTCCTCCAGGTCGGTTGATCGAGTGCGAGCTCCTCCCAGTTGTTGGGGTTGATTTGCAGGCATTTCAGGGAGGACTTTAGGGTATCCTTGTAACGGCGAATCTGGCCTCCTTGACGGCGAGAACCCGTCGTGACGTCTCCGTAGAAGAGTCGTTTGGGTAATCGCTCGTCGCCCATGCGCAACAGGTGGCCGCTCCAGCGCAGCTGAATTTGCCTCAGTATAGCGTAGATGCTGAGGATTCCTGTCCGTTCCAGCACATTATTGTCGGGGATTCGATCCTACCACTTCAGCCTCAGGATGCGACGAAGACAACAGAGGTGGAAGCGGTTCAGACGACGTGCCTGCTTTGCGTACACCGTCCAAGTCTCCGCTCCATACAGTAGTGTCGGCAGGATGACGGCCTTGTACATCTTCAGCTTCGTGTTCAGTTGAAGACCGTGACGATTCCAAACTGTGCTTTGGAGGCGACCGCAGGCTTGACTGGCTTTAGAGATCCTGTTGGCGACTTCATCGTCGATCTTGGTGTTGCGGGAGAGAGTACTGCCCAGGTACGGGAAGTTCTCCACCACCTGCAGTTGGGTTCCGTTCACACTGATTCGCGGCGGCGCGTTGGGGGCTGTGGCCGAGTTGGGTGACGGTTGATGCATCACCACCGTCTTCTGCGTGTTAATGACCAGACCGAAGTTCTCGCAGGCGGCGGAGAACAGGTCCATGCTCCGTTGCATCTCGTCTTCCGAGGTGGTGTTTAGGGCGCAGTCGTCGGCGAAGAGGAGTTCGTGAACGGTGGTTGTGGGTACGCGCGATTGGAAGTGCATCCTCCGTTGTTTCAGGAGGTGACCGTGCGTCCTGTAGGCGATGCGGATCCCGGGGCGTTCGTCGCGGTAGGCGTCCATCAGCATAGCAGAGAACATAAGACTGAAGAGGGTAGGCGCCAGTACGCAGCCCTGCTTCACTCCATTGGTCACTGCGAATGCCTCTGAGACAGCTCCGTTGTCCGTGACTCGCGCCATCATACCGTCGTGCAGCTGACGCACCATCTGAGTGAATCGCTCCGGACAGCCGAATTTCTGCATGATCTTCCACAGTCCTTCACGATTTACCGTGTCGAAGGCTTTCGTCAGGTCCACGAAGGTAGAGTACAGGTGGGCCCGCATATCCTGACACTTCTCCTGACACACACATATCCGTGGTCCCACGATGACGACGGAAGCCGCATTGGCTTTCCGGCAGAAGGCCCTGTTCCAGATGGTTATTGAGGCGGTTGAGGAGGATTCGTGCGAAGATCTTCCGGGCGATGTTCAGCAGGGAGATGCCGCGGTGATTGTCGCAGACTTGGCGATTGCCTTTGCACTTGTAGAGATGCACAATGATTGCGTCTTTGAAATCTTGCGGGACTTCACCATGACGCCACATCTCTTGGAAGAGCGCAGTCAGGTGATCCATCAGTTGGGGACCTCCGTACTTGTAGACCTCAGCAGGGATTGCGTCCGATCCGGGTGCTTTCCCGCTGGAGAGCTGCTGCACGGCCCTGATGGTCTCCTGGAGAGATGGCGGGAGGTCGAGGTCGGCGTTGGTCTCTACTTGCGGCAAACGCTCGATGGCGGCGTCGGAGATGACGGAGGGGCGGTTGAGGACGCCTCGGAAATGCTCGACCCATCGCTGCAGGATTTGCGTCTTCTCAGTCAGGAGAGTGTTGCCGTCGGCGCTGAGGAGAGGAGCAGTGCCCTTCGTCGGCGGACCGTAGACAGCTTTGATCGCAGAGAAGAAGTTCTTCCATTCGTTTCGGTCGCGTACCCTTGGATCTCCTCAGCTTTGCGAGCAGTCCAGGCGTCGTGCATCTCGCGCAGTCGTTGCTGAAGTTGGCGGCGACTGCGGTAGAAAGCAGCTTTGTTGTCCTCAGTGGGGTGATCTACGTAGGGTTTGTGAAGGCGGTTCTTCTCAGCTAGCAGATTTCTGATGGCGGCGTCGTTGTCGTCGAACCAGTCCTGGTGTTGGCGGGGAGCGCGACCGAGGACGACGAGCGCCGTCGACTGGACCGTGTCTCGCAGTTGACACCAGCGGTTCTCCACGGAGGCGTTCTCGGCAGCGGCGGCGTCGGCAGCGATAGGAAAGTTGTCTAGCGTTTGAGCTAGCTCATTGCTGAAATGAAGATGGTGAGCGGGCAAAGACAACAAGGCAACATTCAGCTTACCTGGGGGTCGCTTACCTTGTGGTCTCCTGCGAGGCTGTAGGCGAATACGCATCTTCGAGATGACGAGGCGATGGTCGGTCCACCCGTCAGCACCCGCGATCGCCTTCGTCACCAGCACGTCCCGCTGATCTCCCCTCCGGACGTGGACATAGTCCAGCAGGTGCCACTGGCGCGACCGAGGATGCCTCCAGATTGACATCTCTCGCTCCGGCAGACAGAAGAAGGTGTTCGTCAGGATGAGGCGGTGTTCTGCGCAGGTGCGGAGCAGCAGCAGACCATTGTCGTGGGGACCCAGCACTCCTCTCCAGGCAGTATGGTCTGTGCCGAAGCGGGCGTTGAAGTCACCAAGGACAATCAACTTGTCCGCCTTCGACACAGTCGCCAAGAGGGCGTGCAGGTCCTCGTAGAATTTGTCTCTGACGGCGTCGGGGTTGGTCATCGTCGGAGCGTAGGCGCTGATGATGGTGGCGAATTTGCCTCCTCGCCGGAGAGGCAGGCGGAGGCTCATCAGGCGATCGTTGATGCCCTGCCGCAAACAGGGCAGTCGTCCCACGATGTCGTTCCGAATGGCGAAGGCGACACCCGCGTCACGTCGCTCTGCCCTGGGTCGACCGCTCCAAAAGAAGGTGTAGCCGGCACCCACCTCCTCCAGTTGGCCTTCTTCGGAGAATCGGGTCTCGCTGAGTGCGGCGATGTCCACCTTGTAGCGCGCCAGTTCCCGTGCCACTAGCGCCGTACTCCGTTCCGGTCGGTTGCTCCTCGGATTGTCTAAAAGGGTACGAACATTCCAGGCTGCCAGAGTGAGCGGGCTCACACTGCCAGTCTGGTGACAACGAGTGGGGCGGCGGGAAGGAGATGGTGAAGAAGATGACGAAGGAGAAGAATAGGCAGAGGAAGAGGAAGAAGAGGTATGATGAGGAGAATGAGTATTGTTGTTGTTGTTATTGGTATTGTATATGTATATGTATATTGAAGGGTTACAGGCAGAGCCCTTGATGACCCTATTTATGTACAGTGCTTTCGCAGATTCATACTCAAAAATAAAATTAAATTGCAGGCATTTAAAATGTGATTGGGTCACAGTTCAATCGTAATCATAAGGTAGTGCATGGGGTCTCTGTAAATTAGTGCGGAAGATTGTATATGACAGATTTTACAAAACTGGCTGTGCATAGTCATGCTGTACAAGCCGATTTCTGACGAAAACTAGACGAGCAAGTTTTCTTTTAAACACACAAACTGTGTCAGCCGTCACCATCTCGCTTGGAAGCGAGTTCCACGGTCTGACAACCCGCTGGCTGAATGAAAATTTTCGTCGGTCTAAACGCGTGCGCTCATTCCCGACTTTTTATGCATGGCCGCGTAGTTGGTTTGTACGGGCGAACTCAAAGAAGTCCTCTGCTCTTAATGAGCAACCCTGGCCGCGAACAATCCGGAACGTCCAGAGTAGACTGCAGTTTATATGTCTATAAGAGAGAGGGAATAGGCCAAGGAAATTCAGCCTCTCCTGATAAGACAAATGCTTCAGACCGTCGACCATCTTTGTCGCTCTGCGTTGCACCTGTTCGAGTAAGTTGATACCCTTCCTCATCCATGGTGCAGCTGCTGGCATTCCATACTCTGGATGAGGTCTTACAAAGACACCAAAGAGTCTTTCGAAAAGTTCGGGAGGAAATATTTTAAATGCACGTCTGATCCAATGTAGAGTACTAGTTGCCTTCTGGACCATCTTTCTACAGTGTTCTGATGGCGATAGATTTGTGCTCGTCCATACACCCAGATCTCTGTGTCTTTCCACAGTTTCTAACCTCGTCCCGTCAATATAGTACTGGTGTTTGGGAGAGGCATTGCGGCCGGTGTTCAGGTGCAAAACCACGCATTTGGACACGTTAAACTTCAAAAGCCATCTGTTCGACCAAGCACACAGTTTGTCGATGTTCGACTGCAACTTCTCTGCGTCATCATCGCATTCGACTTCACTCCATATTTTTATGTTATCCGCGAACATGAGAGCCTCGCAATTCACTTCGCTGATGCAGTCATTAACATAAATCAGGAAGAGTACTGGGCCTAAGACAGAACCCTGTGGGACACCACTTTCCACCTTTACCCATTCCGAGGTAGAATTACTAACGACGACTCTTTGTAGTCTGGAGGACAGAAAACTCCTGATCCACTTAAACATTCTCCCTTGAATCCCTGCATCCCAGATATTTTGTAAAAGAAGCCTGTGTGGGACACTGTCAAAGGCCGTCTTGAAGTCAAAAATATGACATCTACTGGAAAACCCTTATCGGTAGCTCGTGTCCATTTCTCGTGCGAGTAAAGAACACTCGTTAGGCAGGAGCGCCCTGGACGAAAGCCGTGTTGGGCATCGCACAATATTTTGTTCTGTTCCAGGTATTTCATCAAGTGTCGTTTGATAATGCGTTCCATTATTTTACACGCGATGCAAGTAAGACTGACAGGACGATAATTTCCGCAGTCAAGTCTTGAGCCTCCTTTATGGATCGGAGTAATGAGTGCGCACTTCCATTCTTCCGGGAGCTCGCCGTCTTCAAATGACTTTTGAAATATTGCGGATAAGGGTTTGCACAGTTCATTAGCAAGTTCACGAAGTGCTAGGGCGGAATTATATCTGGGCCAGGCGATTTGGCAGGTTTCAGCCGGAGTAGCTCGGCCCTAACTATGGTAGACGAAAAGAGTGGTTCCTCGGTTAAGGAGGGTAGGGAGGGGATAGGATGGGGAAGGGTACTGGGAGGAGAGGTTGGTTGGCGAATGGATGGATGGGTGTTGTTGTTTCGATTTTGATTGTTTCGACCATGATAAGACGTCCGCGGCCCTGGGTAGCCTGTAGACGGCGTGGTACCCAGCAATGTTTAGGCCACCTTTTCTAGGCACTTCCCTCGTGGGGGCTGGCAGTGCCATCCCTTTATAGGGCTGCCATGTGCCGTTATGGCACGGCTGAACTCCATTATGGGACCACGACTTCGGGTTGTAGTGGAGAGCGACTCGAATTCGCCGTAAGCCGCGGTCTCCGACGGCGTAGGTGGGCGCGTCAAGGCGATGTCGATGTGGAGATCCATCCCGTCACCGGCTGTCCAGCGGCCTGCAGAGACGAACCACGTCACGGCGGTGCCGACGCAATGTTCCATTCGACCTTCCATCCAACGGAATCCGCAAACCCTGTGCACACGGCACAGCGCACAGGGCCCCCTCACCTGGTTTAGCTCGCCGGTCGAGACGGTTGCCCGGGGTGTGGCCGCTGAGCAGAGTCCAGCTACGTAGCGCCACAAGTGAGAGTTGAATGCCAGCAAGTGGACGCTAGGCGCAGTCTCACTCGCAAGCAAGTGAGCGACCATCACGACCATTACGTGAGCCCACCGCTGACACCCCTACACCCCGGACATCAGCTATGGGATTACTGAAAGCATCTGGGAGGTTGCGGTGCTGCGTTTTTGTACTAGTTCGTACTTCTCGAGAGTAAAGTTTCGAGACATGTAATGGGAGGTTTTCGGTGAACTGGACCTCTTCGGATAGCCGTTTTTTGGAAAATCTCTTAATCCGCACAAAAATATCACAAATAGAGGGCAAAACGGAGGCTTGTTTCTAATGTTGGGATCGATGAGAAAATCTGCGCAACCTACGACGAAAGGGTAATGGCAGAAAAACCTCATGCCTGACATTTATTATTTCCCTACGGGGAACAAAACGAGAAAAAGGCGGTTTCAAAATTTCATACAGTTTGGCAGTGAAAACACTTGCATACACTACGGCTACTGTTTGTAGTGTAACCGGAGACATGACTGACAGTCTAGATTGCACTCATTCATAGCGCTGAGGAAGTGAAATGAGCAAAAATGTCACATCCCGTATACGGTGTATGTCTATACTGGATCAGGGAATTTATGCGGATGTGTTGTGGTTTTTAAACTTGGCTTGCTACACGGCCTTCAGCGTATGTTATAGCCTGGCGGGTGGGTGGAAGAGGAGGAAAATACGTTCTGGGAACAACTACTTTATACTCAGCCTGCAGACACACGTTTTTTCAGCTCCTCGAAAAATGTCTTATTTATTCTGGGTCCTGAACGTTCTGATACATTCCAGTCTATAGTGTGCCAGTCACAGAGTACGTTCTGGAACATTCAGAACTGTAATATGTCGGTCGTGGGTTGGCTGCTCCGTGCGCGGGAATCTCCCACGGAAAAGATCGAATGTTCGACCGACCATCGAGTGGTTAGCACGCACGAACAAAGGCAGCACTTGTGCTCGGTACAGCCGCACGCGCTGGCGGACTGTCTAATTTCGCGAATGTATCTCAACGTCGGCTTGGCTTGTGGTGAAGGCGTCCTTTCGCTCTAGCTCATGACTCCACAGCGCTTGTGTTCTCCATTAAAGCATAGTTTGACATTGGTCATCTTGTTAAATTCCCAGGTTAAGCAGAGCTCCTTCGTCCAAACAATGGAATATTTTGCCTTGACTGAAGTGGGCAACTCGAGGAACTGTTTTCAGCCGGACGGTTAAAATTATTATCAACCCAGGAGCGCCTCTTCCAAAGTCGTCCCATAATGGCTTCTGGAAGTGGAGGTCGCGCTGATCTTCACAGAGGACAGTTAATAGAAGTGAAAGTCGATAATTTCACCAGAGATCTTGTCGCTATTTCTTTTTCCGACGGGGGCAAAGTTTACAGGGGTATTCTTTTGGCTGAAAAAGAAAGGTAATTCCCATGACAGAGTACTTATCTATGACACAAAACTACGTTTCATGTGTCGAAAGAACTGTTATAAAGTGCTCCCGTTCACAATAAAGGATTTTGACACTGAAATATCAGTTTAGGTATTCGAGCACAGTATTCGTAGTTAACTCGTGCGCTATTTCGTACGAGTTTTATTGTATGGGCTGGTTGGATCGGCTAGGCCACTTTTCCACTAGTGTCATTTTATACTTGCTTGTCTTCTCGCAGAACATTTAACCACCAGAGCGCTGGCTGTCAAAATCCAATTACATGCTTTTGGAATACTTAAAGGGCCGTCCCGACAGACAGTAATGTCAAGCGATCCCTGACCTAAGACCGCGTTTCCTATATCGATGGAAGGGCTTCACTAAAACCCGCAGAAGTTGTGTCGGTCGCTTGGGGGAGTCTTTCCCGACGTTTCGGTCCTTGTTACTCCACGTAGTGAGATGTTGGATACCTGCCTTGATTTACAGGTTCATAACTGGCCTTGTCGCCTTCTCCAGTTTTTCCTTTACTGAGAATTGAGTGAAAGCGCCCCCGTCTCTTTTTTCACGTAGTTTCATTCGTCATGTCATATGACAGTCTCCACAACAGGTGCGTTTTAAATCAGACGGTGCGAGCTTAGGCCTTTCTATTACTTTCAAAATCTCCGCCTGGTCAACACAGCGCCCGTAAGGGTTAGCAAACTAAGCTTGGTTTTCTGAAGTCCAGCCGAATAGTGAATTGCATGTAATGCCTTGGGGTTTTGTAAATCAGACGATGCATGACAGATCCCCTCATTTTCCTCGCTCGCGCCGCAAATTCCCCTGGTATTCTGGTGTTTCATAAAAGATCACTTAAGTTGGTTAGCGTTCGTCTGTTTTCTTTTTTATACTGCCTGCACCACGTCCATAACCGGGTGCTACTATACCGCCTCCCTAATCAGTATTTGGCATTTGAGTAAGTCGTGCCACTATGTCCCCGCTGAGCATGCGTTTTTCATTTCTTTACTTCTGCTGCACTGCTTCCTCAAGAAAACCATGTTTCCTTTTCCAAATGAGCTCGTTTGTTCAAAGAGCGTGTTTAAGTCTCTGAAGCTATCATTTTATTTTGCAGTAGGAGTTTGTGGGATTGCTATACTCCTGCCAATTGTCTGTGTAGCTCAGGGCTGCGGTTCCAGATTTTGCGTTCCTGCCTCAGCTCTTTTGGCTAGTGGCAGCGGATTTTGTGTCATACCTCTGTTTTGCTATTGCAAACATGTATGCCTAGTCAGTGAGCGCAGTCCGGTGAAATGGACAAACAGCATGTGGTAGATGGATTTTCTCATGAGCTGTGCTGTCTCATTGTACTTCCGGTTTACTGGAAGAAAAACCAAGACAATGCTTTAAAATACCCTCAGTAAGCCAATTCTTTAGTCGCGCAGCTAAGCACACGCGTTGGTGTTTTTTGGCTACGGCCCCATTCCACCATTTACCTGGCCTTTCGAATTAAGCCCCTAGGGAATTGCGGCGCGTGCCGAAGTCAGTTATTGCCCCACCCTGCCTGTATCGTAACAGATTGGCTGAAACGTACTGATACTCCTTTCTAGCTACCATAATTTAGCAGATAAGAAGCAAATCTATGAGCACAAGTTAGGCTATTATGTTGGTTAATTTGTGGTACACACACGCACACCAATACTCGGGATGCGCATACAGTCCGACAAAACTGCACTGGCCAGGGCTGCCCCTTATACTCAATTGTTGCTGAATTTATCATAATTAACTTAATTTGCTCCATGTTGTCGATTCACCACACTCCGTGTGATTGCATAACTTGACGGCAAATTCCTGGGCGAAATTGACATCAGTTTAGCACACCGACGGTCACAGTGGCAGAGACGCGCTCGAAGTCAGCTCTTCCCACTATCACCCACCTCGCGTTCGACACCCTGATGTCAACCAAGGCCGGTTTCAGGCGAGGACCACTCGTTAGGTGAACTCTTGTTGCGTAGTCTGAACGAAATAGACCACTCTCTAAACACTCCCTTGCTCCGTGTGGCTTGTTCTGTTCCGGAAAGAGGTTTCCTATTGCAGCTGGCTGCATTTTCTGGCCTTTTTAAGCTCACATAACGTTTTCTTTCACCACCCTCAAGTTTTATACATAGAGTGTTTCGCATGCGCGCGAGTCCCAAATATGTCAAGTAGGACCTCATGTGTCAGAATTAAGGTATAGAGAAAAGATCGTTTTATTGTCCTGCTTTTCGTGAAAAGCCTATTGTCCACAAAATAAAGTGTTTTTTAAATTTTGATAAGTTTCGTCACTGGTGCCATTACTTCCCTGCAGGCGTAACAGAGGTATTTAAAAATCCCCAGCATTCGTTTTCTGAAAGAATATTAACGAGAAGAACGAGGCGAATGATACAGACTTCAATGACGCCACCAACCTTCTAGCTATTTCTTCAACTCCAAACGATCATTGTATGATTTTAGATTGCTTTCCGCGATGTGGGAACAGTACGGCGGGCAAAGAACATGCTCAAACCATCTTAGTCAACTTTCTTGGAATAAGTATTGACACAAATGAGTTTTGCCAGTGGATCAGACAGGCACAAGGGATGAATTCAATATTTCCTTGCCAATAGCAGTACGAAGCTAATAACGTGATCCAATTGCTTGCAAAGTTCAGAATTTGGCCATATTTCGTTATCCTCGGAGCGACGCAAAAGCTACACCATCCGTACCCGTAAGAGAACGCCGACCTCCACTCGTCACTATTACTAGTGTCCACAGAGTGGTTTGATACTGAGCTTCTCAATGCTTTGTTTCCAACGCATGTCATCCACTTTTGCGGTTTTTTCCCAAACACGCTGTCACGTGCCATGGCATGCGCCCAATATATTGCTTTCATCGACTGCATCTAGTTGTAAACATAGAAGTGGCGTACACAGACTAGTCATCCTTAATAGGTCTGGCGGATGACCATTAAAGGACCAACACGTATGAAATTGACAAATGTCCTACGGAGTCGCCGCCTGATTATTTTGTAGGCGTCATTTTAAAGTTAACAGATTCTGACAGTTCGGTTGCGTTCACGTATCTGGGCTGGCGATATTTTTAGATGAATCCTGCCGGGTATCCAACTATTAATTAGAATGCTTTCGAGGAAATGAATATCACCTTACAACGCCGCAGGTTGCATTTTAATGATACAAACAAAGAAACAACACTGTTCGCCTTTCTCTGAATGGTGCTAAGTTCCAGAAGTAGTTACTGCCCTCTTCTATCACGCTCTCTGATACATGAATCTTCAGAAAGAGCCAACTTGTGCTTCCTGTTCGATCATAAATCCACTTTTTAGACGTCCTGACCACAGACAGTTGCGTTTGACTATTAGCTAAGGCAGAAACTGCATGTCTGTATCTTTCAAGAGACGTTTTTACTGGGAATTTCAGACAACTTTTCCTTGATATTTGACTGAATTTCAGGCGAAACTAGGTCTACGGAACCACCCATATCTGTTCCGCACTGCTCTTACACCTGTCCACTAGAGAGGAATTTAGCGTTCACTGTGCACAAACGTGCGCAATTGGTGTAGTTCCCATCATATTTCCAATGCATGTTTACGTATTAATTTCAGTTTTTCCTATCGACGCATTTGTACGGGGATTCTTAACGCCCAGAAGAATCATGTACCTGTTTTGACGGTTATGATCATTTAGGCTATCTGTGAAAATGTAATCGTCTTTCCATGTATACGCAATAGGCTTTGCCGAATTTATCAAATTGCTTACTTTATAATTTTGCAAATTTGGACTCTACGACGTTTTTGTTGATACACTTGGTCGGGTTTTTGGATTTTTAGTGGACAACTACGAAAACAAATCCTTTAAATCTAGTGGTATTATTAAGTTTGCTTCATTCGCTAACTCTCGCGTTATTGAAAGATCGGCTGACTATCTTACAGCTGGAATGACGATGAAATAGAGCCGGCAATTGGTGCTTCTCCTGATCCCCAAAATAAGACTGCTTTTGGAGAAATTCGTACCAGCTATTGCATACTAGGGCTGTGGGATAATCTTCGGTTTACCTTCCACTTTCTACTGACTACACGATCGAATCCTCCTTATTATCAGTTAAATCCACTTAGCCTGTAGTTATGTTACAAGTTTGGTTTTCTAGATGGGGGTTCAGCGCCCAAGGCACCGAAATCACGAATCCGTCTCATTGATTCCTGATCTTCGTGTCATTCTTCTACCCGTTGAACTATGGCATTTCACAAAGTAGTCGACATGGCAGGCCCAAACTCTCACCTTCCTGATTTTGAGGATCCTGCTGCCCTGCGACGACTTGTTCCTCAGATTTGCCTATTTTTCACTTAGCTTTTGCTTAATGTCGTCTAGCCGTCTGCCTCGCATGGGTCCGCGAAGCAACCACTGGTTTGTCCAACATGCAGGCCTCCTTCGGCGGCACTTTCATTGCTATCCAACTCAAATTGCCCATCAAAGTAAGAAAAGTAGTCTTGGTCAGCAGCTTTTCTGGACCTGACGGGCGATGGCGCCGACATGGTTTATCCGCATACCAGCTAGATTTCAGTATTGTGTCGTCTGACTGGGATATATGGTGACCATATGAGACATGCTGAATAAGTCATTATGAGCGCATTTCCCTGTGTAGGCAGGTACTCAATTGTCAAATTGTACGTCGTGGTGAGTATTTGATGCTCCTAACCATATTCACCGGCAGAGCCATTGAAACAAGCCGATGATAATCCTGTCTGTGATTCGCATCGTCACACCAGATCTTCGAACTGCCATTGCCATCTTCTTGGCCATGATGTCGCAGCCTTAAGTTCGTAATTTTCGCTGCATGAGCGTCGGTAGTTATAGCAAGTTCATCTGTCGCCCCGATCTCCGACCGTTTAGTGGTCGTCTGGGCAATCGGATTGGGTGATCGCATTATCGAGAAAAGAAGTACTTGACCAACAACCACGGGTACTTTCAGTTTTGTCAATGAGCACTGCTCAGAGATATTACAAGAATAGCTTTTATGGACTCCAACTGTCAATCCGCTTTTACCAGCAACTCATATATTCCACTGTTGATGGATTATGGCACGTATCTTGGCAGCAGAGGATGACTCACAGACGCAGCCACGTGGGGTATTGCAGAGACCACGATGATAAAGTTTGTGGGACGTATCCGGAAATGGTACTCTTTCCAACCTAGCAATCTGCCACTGTGTACCCAAGTAGAGCCTCGGCCTCATTTGATGTCTTGAATGGCCGTCGAATTGCCTTTCACCGTCTGCTAGGTAAGCCGTTGCAACTTTAGTTTACCACAGACAGTTACAACATGTGCCACTTCCGAGGCTGTGTTCTGCCAGTATCTATTTCGACGTGCGTTCATTACTTATGTTGCCTAACGGTACAGCGCCTTGAAGTTTGAGTCTCACGCGCTTCAGATGCGCCATACTTTGTCTGCTCATTAAATAGTATTTGTCAGTACTTAGCCTTTGAATTTGCGCTTACGATGACGCAAATGTACAAGCGAAAACTTATCAGTGAATTCCTGAGTGGACTCCATACCCCGTTCACACGGAGCTGTTAGACACTGGTTTTTGAGGGAGACAGGGTGGTCGGTGTCGGGATGGAGGCATCTGACAGTTTCACTGCATTAAATTCCGTGAACATCAAGCTGCCTAGGAGGGGGACTTTTACTAACACCTCAAAACGCGAGCACACGCCCCCACCCACGTGTAACATGAACTTGTCTCACCACATGTTTCGACTATACTCATTAAATGACCGCTCGGGACCGCACCTGAGCAGCCTTTTTTCCCGTCAAACGAGGTCATTCTCTGCGATGATCATCCACTTTTGGATATAAAGTCAACCGGTGTCTCGCAGCCTTCTGAAAACTGGCATTTTTCCAAATCAACCTGATGTCCCGAGCGACATGTATAATTTGATCTTCGTTACTACACTGATTCCCAATTGCAGGCTTGTCTCGGGTGGTTTTATTGCGGTTTTCCTGCGTAAACTTGGTGTCATTAGAAGGAAAAGGAAACTGAGATTCGCGGTGATACCTGCCCTATTCCGTATTAGCGTGTAGGTGTTAACTTCAACTACTACAATGCGGGTAATTCCGCCCTTTAACCGCATTCGGGCCATGCAATGTTGTGTAATTGTAATGACATGCTTGCCCAAGCAGCCATGAACGCCAGTGACAGAGGTGATGGTCATTGTCAGCTCAGAAAACGTTGATTACTCCTGAGTCGCCATCAGGCAACCAATCAGTAGTATTTTACGCATGCCTCTTAACGAGCATTTACTACTGACCTGAACTAGCAAACACGGCTTTTTAATGCCGCCGACGTTTAGCAAGCGTGGGAGTAGGAAGTCTGGTCAAGTACCAAAACAGTGTTTACATTTCCGAGTTTTCGAACCCCTGCAGGAGTCCATCGTCAGAGATGACATAGCAACAAAACAAGCGGTAGTTTTAGGAGGTATTAACAATTCAACGATCAGTGGCGGAGGTCTGGAGGTGACTGCACAGGGCTCTGTATGCCGGCGCCTTATCGACACAGCTATTGACTGAGTTGCCATCCAATGCCCAGGTCTAGATCAGTTCTCACCTTGTCTTGCCTCCGGCGTGGCCGATTATCTTCGCGGCTGCAAAGTTGAACTCATGACCCCTTTCGGGGGTGTGGGCAGCCACTTGCGAAAATTTATCGTCCTGTCACACAGCCAGCTTATATTCGTGTATGCGCGGTCCAAGAATGCATTCAGTCTGTTCTTCCGTCGTTGATTGCGTATCAGATAAGACTTTGTTGAGCGAGTAGGGGGAATTCTGCAGCATGTCTTTCCTGACGATAACGAACGTGTCCCCAACGTAGTGGTGCCAAAATCGGACCATGCTGGGTGAAGGAAAAACTGGTCCCGCAGGGGACTAGAAACAAATGGTTTCGGTGCTCGTTACGCACGCATACACGGGAAACTCGAACATCGCTCTCCTGTATTAAAGCAGCTGTTCTGCTGCCACGGCGGACCGACTTAGTTGCCCGTAGTCAAAGACGCTGGCAGAAACGTACTTGACCTGCTTCTTGCAATCACGTCGACTGTATCGCTGGAGCATTGTTTCAGGAAGATGCCAGTTATTGTCACAGGTGCATTAGCAACCGTTTATTTTGTAGCATTCTGTTGTCGGTGCCTTCTCTGCCCTTTCCAACGATGGAACCAAAGTGTTGGTAGTTTCAAGAACCGTTTCCTTGCGTTGGTGAGTCATGTCGAGTAAGTTTTTGAGCTGACCTATCCCCCGCGTCCGATTGGGCAGCAGTTTCGGATTAGGGGTAGGGGCACCAAACTCATGAAGCGGGCAAAGAACGTGCGCAAACCATCCTAGTCAACTTTCCTGTGTGGCATAGGAGGTCCTCGCGGTGTTCTAGCGAGTACAGACTGTCCCATTCGAGACGTAAGTGACGCAGTTCACTCGTGTGATGGTTCTGAAACGACGAGGTGCCGCTCCAAAGTACTTTCGTATTCGCAGTGTTGTGGGATAAACCGGCTGATCTGACGAACTCGCCCACGCGGGACTGCATTCTATGGGCTGTCATAGCTTCATGTTACGGGACTGATATTAGCGGCTTCGTTGAGATAAACTGGCCGGCGCCCTGGTAAAAATTTAAAATCATAAAGACTGCGCGCATCATCTCTTCTAATCTGCTTAGTGGCATAGTTAAACATGATAGACGGCAGGATGCAGCCTTATCAAACACCAAACCGAAAATTAAGCATTTGGAAGGGACTGTCACCAGCTGGGCGTCTGAAGCGGCTAGGACATTAGGTGCAGCCCGACTACCACGATAGTCATAGCCCAGTCCGGCTTTGGAGAAGACGAAAGACACCAGTAGGAGGCGTGTATTCTATACAAGAGCTCGGTGGCGACCAAACCCCCTAAAGCGCAGCCGGCTCTGGATCTGTGCACGCGTTCCTCGTACAGTGAAAAGGACGCAAATGACTTGTGAGAGCCTGTCAGTGTTTGTGATAACGGAACTTGCGGGCGTTTGTGATTGGCCATTCGCCAGGCTAAATGTGCACATGTTCCAGCCACTTGAGAGCCCGGATCGCATGATTCCTAGAACGACGTATGTGCTGGAGGCCGAAAGCTTCTGTGCATTTGAGGTGCCACAAGTCACGCAGTGTTGGATCGGTAGTGGGCATGCCAAACTGCACCATTGCCTGCCCCAGGGACTCTCTTTTAGCGGAATAGAATGTGTAACGAATGAGGTAGTGGTTGCATTCTGGAACGTCAGAATCATCGGGCCAGTTTCCATTTCGCAGGATAATATTGAAAACACCAGAAGGGAGGACTTATTTTGCACAGAATTCTGAGCTGTTGTCTCCGGCGAGGGCGAGGCCCGTTCTGACGTTCAGTTTTGTGCGAGAAGCAGTGATGCTGTGGTTTCAGCTGCTTTAATAAGTTTGGTGGAGCAGGTTCAGGCGGTGTGTGCTGCCTTAGTCGAGAGATGACATATTGAAGTGAGACATGGGCGGCTGTGCCGTCTGAATGCGGGCGTGTGCGCATGTTGCAGTCGGCCAGACTGTAAGCTCAACGCGCCCAAGACGGCTCACTGTGAAGGTGAATGACCTTGACTTAGCGGGGCATTGGACTGAGGTGACCCACATCGTTATGATGGCTGTCGGCTACAAATGCCACAACGAAGTCAATAAAGCAGACAACGTTTGGTTCTTGGTAAATATGGTAGAATTAAAGTATACTCGGTTGTATGACTATTTTTTTGGCGCACCCAAGCATGGCCAGGCTTCTCCCGCCAGTCAGACACCAAGAAAGCCATCTCAAAATGACAATGGTAAGGCTCTTTAGAGCGAGACTGATCAGACTTCTGTCCCAGTACTTCTCGCATACCCACTTTTCCAATTTGAAGACAGACAAAGATTTTGCTGAACCTTAACCATGAGGAACAATCTTATCTCTATGACTGGTTCGATCACCCTCATTATCCAGGTCACCGAACCGTCAACACAGGACCTGTTGACTTCGTTGGGGGTTCCGTCCACTGCGGGCGTTTTATCATTGCGCGAATGTTATATTGTGATTGCATTTGTTGGCTAGATCGCAGTTGGTAGCCAGGTGCCGTATTAGAGGTGGCTGGGGGCTTTGTCTACTGGGGTTATTTTGTGGGACTCCATAATCACATCTGACCCATTTGGCTTCCGTTTTACGTTTGAGGTTAGGATTAGGGTACCGGTTTAATGGTTTCTGATTATCGGGTTAGGGTTATGTCTTTAGGTTTAGGTTTTCGGGTTCCGGTTAGGCTTCGAGCGTGCGATTGGGTTGCAGTATTACGGTTAGGTTTCTCAGTTGTGGCTATGTCTAAGGGCTACGGTTAAGTTTATGATTTTGATTAGGATTATGGTTGCCGTTAGAGTTAACGGTTAACGTTTAAGGTCGAGGTTAGGGTTAGGGTTACGGTTAGGAATAGCGTTAAGGTTAGGATTAGGGTTAAGGTCGCCGTCCGCCTCCCCATTCCTGGCTACCAACTGCGATCTAACCCATTTGTTTTCTGGGAGGTCAGGTCAAACGACACTGCATAAGCTGGATAAGAATAAAACTCCACTCCATAGAAGGGACAGGTGATGATGGGTTGGGCTTTGGGGTCAAAGAGGCGCTCCATTTTAGCCGAGTCCTAAACAGTAAGGTCGCTATTTGAATCGCGGACTTTCATTCAGTGCAAGTGATCTACTGCTAACTGGGCGAGTAAGTTAATAGTTTTGTACTGTCGCCATCGTTTGGGGTTTGCTCCATTGAACTTCCGCCACTTCAACCCAACAGTGTTTGCCGTTATTTTCCGAAGTTCGTGGTAGAAGGTCGTCACGGCATCCAGTTGAATTACCTGGACAGACGACTGGAGAGCTCTTGTGCCGTCCTAGCCATTGCGGTGCTGTTCAGTGAGTCCGAGCATGCATGCAGCTGCCCAACTGGTGAAGAGTTCATTACTATCACCATTTGCCTCAGGGTGAGACCGAATTTCGGCTTTTAGAGCCTCGACAAAGTTAGTCCACCACAATGTCACGATATCAAGTCTAACAAGAGGCGCTCTGGAAACACGGGAGACGTATGCGAACTCTGACACGGCCCGACCTGTGGACGTTGGCCGTTTTGGTACTACGAATCGGTCTGCTACTATGCACCACCTATGAAACGATTAACTAGGATTCAGTCAGTCAGGTTACTATTTAGATTTGTAATACCAGGTTATCGCCACAAAGAACCAAGCTGGCCAATAAGACAATTGGTCAAACAGTCGTTTAGTCTGCTGTTCTTGACCCCGGCAGCAGAGAACTCTTCTGGCCACTTCGTGTATCTGCAAAGAGCATTATCCTTTGTACTGCTGGTCGTCACTGGACGTTGGCGTATAGCTGGAAACGACAGGGTAGTATAGTATTTTTTCTCTGAGGAGACACGATCGCTGGAACAAGTGCTTTATTAGCCTGACGTTTCGGATTCTCACTCGAATCCATCATCAGAGGCAGAGTCAGATCAGGGTAGTGAATTGCCCAGGTGTTGCGATATTTATAGGATGTAGTTCCTAGGCCGCTACATACGTATCACAGTTGGCAGCTCCCGTGTGCGTCACAGCTCGATTATTGGCTCCCACGTTCATCGCACGCCGCGGAGGGGCCGGCTACCGGATTTCGTCATCCATGTGGACTCTTGGGTAACTTGGCTCGCCGACATTGATACAGGCGACAGCGGTTATCCGCATGCTATCCTCGCGGCTAACTACTTTGCCTAGGCTAAATCACAGCGCCAACTATGGAGAGGGAAGGTCGTTGCGCTTGTTAATTGATGGAGGACCGGAAAACCATGACTCGAGCAGTTCGCGGCTCATGCGGTTGTCGCCTCCATCAAGAATTTCGGCTTCGTAAAACTTGAATGTGTGGTTGGGTCCCGTCCAATGAGCCGCGACTTGGGAGTTGGCGTCGTTCCTCCTCACTGCTGCCGCGTGCTTGCCCAACCGCGTCCAGAGTATTCTCCCGGTTTCTCCGACATAGTTGCTGTCAGAGGTCGAGCGTGCTGCCCTAAGAGGGCTCAAGGCCGACAAAGGCATCTTCATTGTGCCTGCGGACAAGAGGCGTCCCACGGTTGTTTTGGACAGGATAGCTTACCTCAAGAAAGCTGAACTTTTACTGGAGGACCGCCAGCCCTATACCCCTTGCGCATCCAACTCCCTAAAAACAGACACTAGAAACCAATGCGACGCTGTTGGCATTGGAAAACTTGGCTAGCCAAATTACCCAAGAGTCCACATGGATGACGAAATCCGGTAGCTTCTGATGATGGATTCGAGTGTGAATCCGAAACGTCAGGCTAATAAAGCACTTGTTCCAGCGGTCATCTCTCCTTCTCCGCGACGACTTCCTGGAACTCGCCTCTTAGCTTCTATTAGCAAGTGTTTTTTCTGCCTCTCATGCGTCAGCCGACTTTTTGACTGGCTCCTATTCAATAAATGCATAGTTCGCGCTTTCCGAAGGAACGCTGACCCCACCATGTCTGTCAGAAGAGTTGCATGAACCGCTGCGAGGTAGGTTTAGACTTCGGGATCATGATTCCCCTAGAGCTTGGCTCAGAGGTTCGGGAGTTGTCGGTTCCCGTGGACGCCGTGGCTGGTATTATCATGTTGAATTCGAATGATTTTTTGAGGTTTCTTGGGAATTGTGAGTGGTGACGGGTCTGTAGCAGTTGTCCAGTTTGTTTGAGGCCCTCTAGCATTCTAGCTCAGAAATCTAGCTGCAAGGCCACTATATGCTACGCAACTATACAGTTTCACCCTCGTATCACTATTTACTCGTGACATTGTACGTCATTAAGCGTCAGCTGACCAAGATAAATCGCAATTTCTACCGAGTATTTCTGTTTTATAGACGTCTTAACAGTTGAGAAATCACAAATTATGAAGTTTTTTGTTGTGTCACTCTTGTTTAAAATCTTATATTCCAGATTCCGATCTTGCTGTGACACGAACACTTAAAGTTCTCCCGTTCATGTGCTCATTAACTGCCCCTTTAGAACTGACACAGCCTTTGTGCCGAAATCAGAATGACTGGTGTGTGGTTTGTACCCATATTGCCTCTGTAAGTTCCAGCTGGAATGATCCAATGCCTTCTTATTTGTAGCACTAAACCCCTGCCTTTCCAGGCTTTCCCCGAGCTTCGAGGTTCTTAGGCTCACCACTACCTATGAGTCTTCATGTTCTCTTTGAGGATTGACAAAGTCGTGAATTCAGTATGAAAGTCGGAAGCCAGCTTCTTCGAGTGAATATTGTAATTGGGGTGAACTCGCCACTGTTAGGTTTTCTTCAGAGTTTGCTCGACATGGCTCGGTTTGTTTGGGACGCAGATTTCAGTATTCCCAAACGGCCTAGACATTTTAGTAATAGCAGCTGTTCCGTACTAACCTTTTATCTAACCCTCTTCATGGAGTGCATTATAGAAGTGTGAGTTCCTAGTCTACCATAAGTGCATTCTCAAAAACGCGTTTTAAAGACCTTAATGACAGGATTAAACCGACGTTTTTGCAGGATTGGTCAGACATTACATACCAAGGGCAAAGTTTAAAACTCGAATGACTCGCTTTTTCGCGGGGATCGTTCGTTAGCTAACGACATGACCTTTTAATTCGTGAAATAGAAAACTCTTTCGATTGAGCAGAAGGAAAAGAGAGACGTCGACCAACATAGTCGCTCCCGTTACCTTCTGGAATTGCTTTTTGTCCATGCGGAACTCTTGTCCTCAAAACCAATCTCTCCTACTTCAACCAGTAGCTTTCTGAGGCCACATTCATGTCCTCTGCGTGCGCTAGGGTTGGCCAATTCGTCGAATTTCATTTGTGCAGTCAGCTCTCGGTAAATACGGGGACCAGGGACGCGATGTTAGGAATTTCCACCCACCCCAGAGAGTTACCAGTGCTGCCCGCACAGCAACGACTAAGCCTCGCTTTTATCATCTACCGAAGACCGCGTCACACGCTGCCGGAGGCTGCGGTACACTTTGCGACGTTCGTGAATGCTAGATCTATTGCTGCAGCAAAAACATTGAGATGAATGACATTAAATACCACCAAACCAACGTAACTGGCTTTGCTGATTATGATACCAGTGAAGGACGCTGGCTGTCAGGACGGTATTCCGCATTTGCGATACTTGTTGCTCATATTCATCCGACACTTCCATTATGTTTATAATCAGGGGGTAACAGTGTTTTTTTCTGGGTGATCAAAGAGCGACTGAATGCAGCGTTCGGGAAATGTACAATTAACAGAGCCTTTTCGCATGTTCCTGCTTTACTTGCCAGTGATGCCTGAATGTATTTGAAAAGTAGGTTTAGGCAAGGCGTCTTTTCGTTAAAATCTATCGACCATCGTCCTCTGACGACCCACGTCTTCAAACCCATGGAGCTACCCACGATAGATTGAACAGGTAGCAGATTAATGACAGATACCAATGACTACTCTTTACCAAAAGATTTATATAACTATTTAATGGCAATAACGTTGACATCATCAGACCCGCACCTGCGTGCTTTGTATAGATGCATTTTTCACCATACTCCCAACGCGGGCACTGACTAGAATTCCTTAGACGCGTTTCGCCAATTTTCCGCTGTTTAATGGTGCAACTACAAAGTGTTCTGTTGCTTGATGGGGCACTTCGGTGTCCCCTGCACGGTTTCTGGTATAACTGTAGGTAGCAAGTGGCGTCTTGCTAATTGGATTTATACCGGCAGCTAAACAGAGTTGCTCGGGGACTCACTGACGAAGCGAACCCCTCACACTTGTGTCATGCCGTAGGTAATCGGTGAGCACGCGTCTGTGCTTTTAGCTGGCACTTGTACTGGAAATATAGTGAGCGTAGAGCACGTGTTCAACTTCCACTGATGCAGTGTAGTTTTAATTTACTACTTTCATGACACAAAGTATGATATGTTCCTTGCAGATTAATTCTTTATTATACAATCCGACGTTGGAGATTGCGTAAAAATCGCGTTTATCCTCCAAGTGACCTGATGTGTCTGCAGGCACAACGCTGTTCACCCAGCTTTTGTCACCGTCACCAGTTATCGTCTGCTTTTTACCGTATTCCGTTGTTTGTGTATCCAGACGACAAAGCGTTGACCATTCATATATACATTCACGTGTTCCATTCCTCCTCAACGTAGGAACAGTCCCTTACAACATCTGACTTACCAAGGAGTTCATACTTGAAAAACAGTCCTAGCAAACACCGGACATTGTCGGCAATTCTGGCAACACCAACGTTTGAGACAGACCGGGAAATAGGAGAATCACGCAACCGGGAGACCTATGCTATAGGACGTGATCGATCCGCCGACACTTGAATTCACATCGGCTGTCTTATATCTGAGCAATCACAACAGCGCCTAGCTGTGCCGATTAATGAATACCCCTTTTCTTTATGGCTCGCAGGGGAAGCCTATTCTAAGTGATCAGCAACGCAGATATCTGATTTGCGAGATTTTTTGTTCCTTTTACCTGTCGTTTCTGAGAACTTGTGCTGAAAGATTCTCAAGGGTGATTGGTTTTTCAGGTGATGCATTGTTCTGCCAAGTAACTCCTATGAGTGGGCATGTTCGCTATCCGGCGCTTGAACCTGGACAGGTTCGCTTTCCTAAGAAAATGTCAATTAATTCGCACAATAATTTTCATAGTTGAGGGGGTAGATTACCGAGTACAAATTCGGAGGGCCGCCGGTTCGATCGTGCCTCTTAAAAAACTTGGCTATGGGATCTCCCTACTTACCACGCTCTGCTCTGAATTTCGCCCGGAATTGATTCTAATGTACACAAGCCACGTGCCTGTTGGCGTACGCTAAATTTGCTTTCTCCTGAAATGTGTCGAAATTTACGAAACTCTGCTCGTCGCTCGCAAACCGAGGCAAACGAACTCACCAAAACTGCGATTTAATAATGAACGACGTTAGCGAGTTGAGAGCGAAGTGTTGTTAGTAATATTACGTTGTTTACAAATATCAGTTTCTTAAAAAACAGGAATCCCGAGACGTCAGAAATCGTTCTAACCGAATAAATGTAAGTTTTGGATGCATAAAGAGCCTATCCATGTGCAAAACTGAGCACAAAAAACAGCACAAGTAGAATAACTTCTGAAAATAGTCCCTTAGTGAAGTTTTTACTTAACTATCCTTCAGGACTTAGTCAAATATCAAGCAGTGCAGTTAGCTAACAATTTGCAGTTTGAGTTTAGGGTTCAAAACGGTTTCACGAGAGTAAGGTGTATTTTTTCCGTTTTGTTTGATTTCGCCTGTAGAGACGTCACGGGAATAAAAGCTTGCATAAGGTCACATGTTGACAGGCAGGCCAGGGAATAAACTGTGACGTAAACAAGCCGTTTTGTGTATGTTGGGAAAACGTTCCTTTCGTCAAATTTCTTGGCGGTTTTTTCTTGAGTGAAGAAAAAGACTGACCGAGCACCGAAACAGTCTGTTTATTGTTCTAAGCTTTTGAACTCGTACAGGAATCCACCGTCCGGGATAGTAGCAACAACAGATCGCCTTTGAAATATCGGTGGATATTTCAGGGCTTCTAATGTTTTCAGTCGATTGCCCATGGGTATGGGTTCTGTGATGTGTTCTTTAAAACCTCCAAACTAAGATAGTTTTTGAAAGCATTTACCGGGGTGGTGAGCGCTTAGACATTATTTCTAGGGCAGATGGCTGTTTGAGTTATTTTTACTCGCCCAAACATAGAACCTCGTCACCGAGAAAAATAAACGTACACAACGAAGGTCGGCAATGAATACGCTCTAGATTAGTTGAAAAACCTCATATAGTAAGCTACTTCTTTAAAGAGCGCTTCGATAAGGGAGTTCACTGACGGATGTTTGCGTTTTCCTTTTTCCAAGGTAAAGAGGAAGAATTGAAATTTTTAGTCGACTTTTTCTCTGAAAAGTAGTGGCAACTTTTCAGTTGCAAACAAAACCCACTTTCCTCTTAATATTGGAGTCCAGTTCGGTATATTTGCTTACCTATAGGCACTTTTCTACGATTACAAATGCACAACAGGGCAGCTACATAAATACTGAGGTATTAACAGAACTGCCAATCTGTCAGTTGCGTCTCTAAGATACGCATCATTGGAAACTAGATCATACAAGAAGTATCTTGCTGCATTGCGAGTCCGACCGTCGTATCCGACGATTGTACACCGTGTGCTCCCCAGCAAGGTGAGAGCTGGCAGGATGACTTGTGTGTGAATTAATGTGTAATGATAGTAGACTTGCACGACATATACCCCACTCTCCTCCTCCCCCGCCTGACCTCGGTGTCAGGACATAGTCAAGAAGGCCGAAGGCGGGAGAGTGCGCAGGTGGCTGGCACGGCCGGACCCGTACCTAGGCGTACCACTGCACCCCCTGGTCCACGATAAACATTGGGTCAGGATTTTAACCAGCAACAAAATCGATCAGAAAGAAAAGGGTGACAAAAGTCACTAGACAACCAAGCACACCTGTACACCTCACAGGAGCGCAAGCGCATCACCGGTAGGGAACCAGGTGCCAAAGAGCTGTCAGGCAGCGAGGCCCATGGCTTGCTGAATCATGACATACCGGAAGCATACAATCCTTAAGGCCTACCTCACCATATGCTTTAAAGTTAACATAGCCACTTGGTGGAAGGCTTTTGCGGCAAGTTATTGAGTATTCAGATAGGGTAGGAAGATGTCGTAACGTTTAAACAGAGGGTTGCCTGTAGGCGTTATTACTGTGTTTTAAGGAATGAAACCACACAGATCTGTAAATCAGACTTTAGAATCCATATTATCTACCTTTCTGAAAATAACCTTAATTTAAGTCACTGTATTTCGGACCACAAATAGTTTGTATAGTCGACCCTAGATCTCAGCTGATGAAGCTTTTGGTTGACATTAATTAGTGTAAAACAAGCAAAACTGTAATTGTATTTTGAAACCCGTCTATACTGCAAGGGGTCTCAAGGCGCATACTCAAGCAACTCCAAGTCGCTGAGATGTAAGGGCTTTGCCTATTATCCTTACCAAATAAACTGAACTGAATGACTGACTGACGCTGATTCAAAGACTCATTCTCCCCACTTTTAGGTCATTTGCGCCTGATGTCAATGAACAGCGCGTCTTCGGCGCACCTCAGTGGCCCCCTCCCATTGGCTCAGACAGCTGCCTTCCCATGAAGACGACTCCCTGCTCCATCGAACGGTACAGCTACAAAACCGATGGTCAACCGTCGCAGCTTACTGTATTTCAGCCTGCGTCTAAACGCACCAGTAACAACCTCTCCCCCCGCTTTCCCCGAGTACTTCGGCCACGCGAGTTTGTGTGCCGGAAGTGCAAGAAAAGTTTTCCTCTGGAAGAGCCGAAACCACTGTCTACTCCCGTAACTTTGAATTCATCAGATACACAGTCTACACGGGTTCTGCGGAATCCCTCCTCAGAAATCATCCGACAATCCACCACCACACCCAACGCTATCGCACCGCTGCCTACTACCTCCGAGATCCGGCGTGTTACTCCACCAATAATTCCGAAACTAGAGTCCTGCATCAAGTCTAAAGAAACTGGGAGTAGCTCTGATGCCGACAATGGTTCTGTCCTTGAACACAAATCTTCGTCACGTCGTAAACGAGATCACAAACGGTCCAGTCGAAGTCCACCACAGTCGAAAAGACGGCGTGATTCTGATGCTAATTCTGCAGCAGTTGTACCTGTTGAACCATCCGTGGACCCCAGTATTGAGTTGCCGGAAAAAGTTACCCCTCCTACAAAACATGCATTACACCTTGATGTTTTAGAATCTGACTCATCGTCCGTACATCTGCGAAAAGACCGAATAAAGGCCCAGTATCAAAGCTCCTCGCACACCCAAATTGTGATGCCAACGGGCCGTCGTCACAATCTGCCACGTCCTGTCTCCACTGATTTATCTAAAAAGTCCCGGAAACTCGGCAGGCATAGAGTTGTCCTCGGTTCCCCTAGCTCAAAATCTCTCAACACCTCTCCTTCGGACACGAAAAACTCGAGTTCGCCCATCAAGAACAAAGTCTCTTCCTCCGCTGCCACCACCAAGGAGTCAAGTAATTCCGAATCACCCGAGTCAAGCCGAGCCCATAATGGAATGAGCCCGGCTCCAAAAACTCCGTCTCTTCCCACTGCGGATGACGCTGCCCAGCGGCCAGTCATAACACGTGAAAATAGCCTCTGCTCTTCTACCTCCGCGGACGAAGTCCCTCCAACCTCGCCGAGGCTCACGCCAAACTCTGCCTCCGGACGCCGCCGGTCGGGTTGCTATGAGAAACCAAAGAACCGCTGGATCCGCGCTGAACGAATCCGCGACACAGAAGAAGCTGGGAAAAGTTCTAACTCGGTCTCCTCGTCTGTTTCCATCGAGAAAAGACGGAAATCTGCCGACCTTATGTCTACCGATGTCACAACTATGAACAGCAGCAGACAGAGGTCATCTCAGTCTACTCCTGTGACGCTACCTGTTCTGCAACCGGAGGCAGCCTTGCCGCTGTGCACGCTTGTAACCGAATCCGCAGCTGCCAATACTGACGCTAGCCTGCCCCCTCCAGATTCGCCCAACGTGCCCGACTATCAGGTCGTTTCTAACCCGCCTCAGGAGTCTACATTCATTCCGCCAATTAAGATAAAAATAAACCGCAGCGCCGGACAACTGAAGAGCCGCTCGAAGGTCGGACAGACTGACGTGGATGGGTACGAGATGAAGGCTGAGTGTGTGAAAGACTTGGCGGCATCGTCTGATACTGATGACCGGTCGAAGACCAAATCAGACGAAATAGTTCCCTCATCAGCACCAAAGCAGCCACAGGGTGCCTCAAACGGCGGTCGTCGCTTCGTTCGACGCTTTCAAATGCCAGACGATGGTTCCGTTTTTCGTCTTGGCGACATTGTGTGGTGTAAACTCTCAGGCTGGCCGTTTTGGCCAGCTCGCATTACCAGCATTGCAAAAGAGGAATCTACGGGCACCGCCTGTGTTCGATGGTTTGCCTGGAATCAGGTTTCCTACATGGCCTGTGATAAATTGTGGCCATTCCTCGAACATTATGACAAGAAGTTAGACAAACGGAAAAAGCGGGGTGTCTACAAGCAGGCCGTTGACCAGGCGTTGGAGGCTGCCCGATGTAGGGAACAAGAACTTCGAACAAAGGCGGAGAATGCTGCTGGGGAAAGCGGAAGTGATGATGACGGATCAGGGTGGGTTGAAGAGGGAGTCGCCTCAAAGTCTGTCCCATGTGCAGACGAACCGGTTGCTGAGAATGATAACGAAGACACCGAGCCCCAACATCCTCTCCCAGCACAAATTCCAACAGTCGATAGCGATGCTGCTGCCCCTGCCGGGGTTCCAGTCAGGCAATCCTGCCGCGGACGCCGTTCTAGCAACAAGACGTGCGGCCGCAAGCCAAGACCGTCATGTCCTGTCTCCCAGAGTAGTGACGTGGAATCTGACCCTTATCTTGCTGCCCAGCAAACCAGTCCACTATCCACTGAGCACTCCGAAGCCCGTTCATTTACCCATAGTGTTGAGATACTACGAACATTAGAGACTTTGCCCTTAACTTCCCCCTTCTCGACTTCTTCCGCAGATACCCCAAGTAAACTTCTTCGTTTAGAAGAATTGTGTGGAAGAAGTAGAGAACCGTCGGCCTTGGCCACTTTGAAAACCATTCAAGACCCACTCGATGTTGTTCTACATTCATCTGCTTCACAAATTGATGAAGAACCTGGCTATCTGAATGTCCTCTCCACCGGTGACAGTCCTACCTCTTCTCGGTGCATTTCCTCTATTCCTACTCAGTCCCAGATACCAGTTTCTTCCACGGCCCTGGGGGTCGATGAGGAAGCTGGTTTCAGCTACACTAGATTATTGAAGTCCACCATCGAAGTTCTCACGTCGGAAGAGGAATCTGAGGGTGAAGACGTTGGCCGGTTAATAATTGACTCCGGTTCGATGCATAACTCCCGAATTCCTGCTTCAGACACAGTCACAATCCCCTCGAATGTTAGCCATCGATCGAGCTACACTTTCTCACCACCAATTACCGATGCTTCCTTCCTTCCATCGACGTCTGCCGCTGATGTCCCCGGGCCCATAGCTTTTTCCGAGACACTAGAGCCCCCGCCACAATCTGTATCAGCAGTCATCAACTGCAACCACCTGATTCAGAGCAGTCCATTTACAATACCGCCCCCTCGAATCATCCCATACTCCGCAATGGACACTGATGCCAGCTGGACATGAATCATACATGTACGCACTTTCGTAGCTCGGCCGCAATTTTACATTCAATTTTACTGTCAATATGTTTATCTGCGTTCCGCTGGTTCGCATCGCAAAAAACAGTGTACAGTTAGTTTTCTATGAGTTCACGTTCGTCCCCCCCCCCCCACCGGTTCCATTCACAAGGCTGACTGACCCTTTTAGAATGAATACTCGGCTCTCGCTCTTTTCCGTTCGTCGGGGTTGGTCTGAAGACAATTCGATCGTGGCTGTGCTTTCCCTGATTATCTTGTTTGTTTCGACAGATGCTTGCCTGGCTTCCCTGATTTCCTGCATGTTGCCGGTGCTTTTCTCCTATCGTTTGTACTCATATCATTTTCTTCAGACTAGTATTGGTCCATTGTGTCGGTGCCTTGTCTGATCTCCCAATTAGCGTTTACGTCCACAGTGCCCTTTCTCATTCCTTTCATCTTAACAGCTGTCAGTTGTTTGAAGGCGAAGAAAACTGCGTATCTACATCACGCCTTCCCAGTTTAATCTTCCTGAGAACGAGCACGCTTGTAAATTGAACAAATTTCTATTAAATTAACTTTTGAGTCACATTTCGTCATATCTTGAAAAGACGTCGGTCAACTTAGACAACTTGTTCGTTTTGCGGTTAGTAGAAGTACTCAAAATAACTCAGATTTCGAGCCATCTGTCATACCTCAGTGACCTGTTTGAAGGTCGTGGTACGCCATTGAAGCCCTGTTGGTTCACGCTCTTCTACTACTAACCGGATTGCGGTACCTATCATTAATGTTAAACGGACTTATTGAAGGTACTATTAGTGTAACCGAGGGGGATTTCTGTGCGCCTTCTTGCCACCGGGCAGATCAACAAAAATCGTTTTTAGCACTATTGCCTGTTAAGAGACGTTAACCCGTAGAATAGCGATCGTGGGAGGGGTGTCTTCCGACCAGCCTATTCAGCCAGGCCTAGCTTGCAAGGCCTACGTGCCTTTGTCGTTACCCAGCTAACTCGGTGGTCAACTTTCATTCCCGGTCAGTATTTTACCAACCTCGAAGACTGCCCTAATTTCTACTTTGTCGGTTTACTCCGAGTTGTCAAAATCCTGGAGACTGTGGTGCCGTACGTGCTTAGCTCGTCTGGAAAGCAGGCCGTTGTCACTAGCGCCCGGAGCGCTAAGACCTGGAAGGTCGACGTTGTCTTAATATCAAATGGCGAAAAGGACCAGGAACCACCAACCCTGTTATGGTCTTGTCGAACGGGTTAGTGCTTCGTGCCATTTCCATTTTTAATAGACACGAGTTCGCGCACCGGCCGACCAAGGGGTCGAGGGGTTTGCTGACCCGCTGAAAAAGTTCAAACGACTGACTTACGCTGTCGGATGAACATGTTATTTTTGGAACTCGAAGTAGGGCTGTCTCCAAGGTCGTTTTCTCAGGACATCTTAACCCCGATTAATGAACTGGGTGAGGGCTGTTGACGTCCGATGTACTGTAAATGCTGGCTATTTTGACCTTAAAAAAGCTTCAGACTGTTCACATCAACAGCTCCTTAAATTCTCTCGTCTGGAGTTCGGGGGAAGTTAGGCCTGCTGGAAAGTTTACCGCACGGGTGGTAAGGACGGGTTGTCGCGGGAGGGTGTCATAGTGAACTGTTAGAGGTGGTCTCCCTCAATAACCCGCCGTCAGACGGCTCCTCGCACGTTATTAATGCTCTGTTTAGGAAGCCAATTTGGGCGTAAGACTTTTTCGCTAAGGCCTTTCGAACGCGCAGGGTTATTCCAAAGAAGAACAATGATATCATCGTAAGATGGGACGTATTCAGGGTTCCTGAAGTGAACAGAGGCACAGTAAATTTAACGCTTCCGGACACGCGATTCTGCCTTTAAATACAGCGATACGAAGGCGGAATAAGATTTCCGACAATATTTCCTCAACGAAGCTCCCTCGAAATCTGACAAAATCAAACGGGACAGCGGCACACGTAAGGACATATACTAGAGTCGTATGACGCACGTTCGCCGGCCTAAACACCGGTGTCTCTGGCAAGCATTTCGGAGTTATCTGTCTTGACTTGATGTCCTTTCAGTTTCAGGCAAGATAAGGATGCCCACCTTTAACCTTCCGGATGCTGAACAGCTCATAACGTGGTGCTGACAATGAACTGTTTTCCATCTGACATCAAGGTCATGCCTTCGAGATCGCGGCTGGGAGATAAGGCAAGGGCTGAGTCGGACAAGCCAACTCCTTGCGTTCTTCTCGGGGGCAAACGTGCAGAAACTGGACGTTTTTTGCCCACCGTGACGAACTGATGCTGTAAGCGCGTTCAAGCGTAGTACGCGAGATGAGGGCTTGTGTAGCAAGGTGGGTCGCTGCACGATTAACGTGCTACTCGTCCTATTTTAGTAGCTCTTTTTATAAATTTGCACTTATCGAGCAGTATGATCTCTCGCGGGTTACCGGGTATTTTGACTTCCGAGTTCGCAACCATTGACTTCCGGTCGTTTCCGGCGGTTGGTTTTGTTGCCAATGATTTGAAAGGGTGTCTGAGTAGTTTCGCCGAATTCAGGGGGTGAGTCTTCAGTGGATGCGCTATCTCGTTAAACATAGACCGGAATCCTAAAATGTGTTTTTGATTTAAAGAGATTACTTAATCAGAGTTGTAAAATTAATCATCGCGCAGCCTAATCCCAAGAAATTAAAGTCACACCAGGGTGCCGGCTTTTGAACGAACCCTTGCATCGGCCGCCTGCAAAAGGTACGCTGTGTAGAAATAACCACTCAAGTAGTATGACTTTTGTCCATTGGTTTTCGATGCCTGTGGAAATTCAGGTATATTTTGTAAAAACATGCACATAATATCCTTGTACTTATTTCATCACAAATTACACTTTATACTTGAAGATTGGGTATTTTTTCAGTTTGAAAAAGTTTCTTATTATGAAATTTTTAAGATCTTAAAATGCCATTTCATAATACATCGCATCTGTCCATTACTTAATGTCGCTTATAAAGTACACATGGTCGAAATTTACTGCAAACTTAGTTGAAACCTATATTACATCTTATTAACGCATAGAAATGTATGATCCAACTTACGCGAAAAGTGTGCAGCATATAGGTTTGGAACCCTAGGCACGAGTGCAGCGGTGGGTCGGTTTAAAATTAATGGGGAGTTTAAACTTTGTGGAGCCGAAAGATACTCATTCTTCACGTGTAAAGTTTGGGAAACACGTAAATTTTCACGAAATGAGTCTAAGAAAGAGTATTTCTGTTCGTTTTTTATGTATTGTATATTTGAATTTATATGGGCATCGTAAACCAGTGGGTAGGAACATACTACTTAAGCAGTCATTTTTTACACCGTATATTAGTTTACCGGCGGCCGAAAGAAACTTCTTCAAAAGCCGGCATCCCGATATGACTTAAATATCTTGGAATTAGACTGCATGATAATTGGTATTACAACCTTACCTAAGTAATCCATTCGAATTACGAAAACACTTCATCCTTTTGGTTAACATATCATGAGATAGAAAATCTGTCGCATGGGCAAACTATCCTGATTGTTGTCGCTCACCTGTGACCCTGCTGTGCGTGGTAGCTATAGACCGGTGTGCAATTCCGACACCTCGTCGACCGACTAAGATGAGATGTAATGTAACGGCTGACGTCATATGGGTCTCGTCCCAGCACGTGCCTCGCAAGTCTGGCAATAAATAAGGACCCATCTAGATCCAGCGCAGTCTAAACAGCGCATTAGCTAGTGTGTTCCGCCCTTTTCATCGAACGCAATAGTGGAACTGCCGGGTTGCTGAGGGGAGGGGGCATGTTTACAATGAAACTTTAACATCGATTTTTTATAAGGCTGGGAACAGAATGAAAATCTACCTTAATTATCTAAGGTGTGTTCGGTGGCAGGACTTAGCGTAGTATTCTGACACGACTCTCCCTTGAAGGCTATTGAAATTTGCTAAAGCGCGAACAACTGCTTGAACAAAGGGGTAGTTGAGGCCTGGCCTACGGGTTTGGCATCAGTGGGCTGCTGTGTGGTCGGCTCTTCTACGTATCAGCCTCCAGGGGCGCATTTAAATCGACGAGATTGCAAAGGACATGAGGGGTGAAGTGTGAATTTGAACGGGAACACATAAGGGCCACATCCAGTCCCTGCAAACGACAGAGCCAATTGAGGAGTGTTCACGCCTGCCGGCACCAACGCAGTCCTGGCTGAAGTGAACGAGAAGTTTGACTCCAACTTAACGGCAGATGCGCTCATCCGCATGGCATGCATGCTAGCATACTGCGTTCTTTCAAACTATCCAGTTCCGGAAAAATAATTTACTACCTCAATTTCGAATCCATTCCCAAGGAATGGATTGAAAATCTTTGGCTTCCGGAAATGCACATTTTCATTTCTTTTATACCAGATATTACAGATAAGTTGATTCAGCGATCAAAATTCCGTGTCCATGAAAACAATTTCATAAAATGGACTTTAACATGCAGGCAACTACGGGCAGAAAATGTATAAATTGGCGCCTGCATACAGTGGTCAGGTCTCCGTTGGGTGCAATGACGGTATGTGTCCCTGTGGTTTTTCCGCGAAAATAAGAGTCAGCAGACGAATAATCAAAACGATTAACGGGGTGCAACACTTACAGTGTTGTTAACCTTTTTAGACAAGTTTCGTGAGGAAACTAGCCCTGCCATCATTTCCAAACTTCAGGAGTTTATTAGGTCACATTAAAACTGCCTCAACCTTGACACAGGAAACTCCCAGTTCTAGTTTAATGCATTTTTTGCCGGCTAGGATGTCGACGGGACATGCACGAAAGGTTGGTAAGTATAGCAGTTTTTGAGGCAATCAGAGCACATCTGGTGACGAACTATGGTAAACAGTGGTAAGTTTTGATCGCTGAGCTGAGAATTTCGCACTGAAAGCTCTACCGTTGAGCCAAAACGGGACGCGATCTCCGGCTATCCTAGTGTTATCCACTTTCCCTCTGCCCGTGA